ATGTTTATATAATTATTTGATTGCGTTTCACTGTTTTTGATTTTGTTTATTTTTTTTTTCAGCTTGTGAATATATTGTACAATGTTCGGGAATGTAATTTCTGTGGTTAATGCTGTAGTGTGAACGATATATAAGAAATTAGCAAATTAAAAGTTCTTTTTAAACATTGCACAGTGTAGATATTGACAAAATGTAATCTCTCGAAAACAAAAACATCTAGCGAAATTAATTTAAGAAGAACTGCTTCAATGTGTCCTCTACAAAATTCCTTCTAGAAGTATTAATGAATAGCAAAGACAGTTGACGTTGAAAATACTTAACAGAAATCATTTCTTATGCCGAATTTCCACTAGGCATTGAAATGACGAAAAATTTACGCCATTTAAAAAAATGCCATGCGGAAATGAACTTAATGACATTTTTTTTAATGTAATGACGCGATTATTTTGTAATGCTCGACTTTGTCATTTGCCATTTTTGCCATTTAATGCCTAGTGGAAATCCAGCATTACTTATAAACTACAGTACAAGTATTTACTCGTACAGTGAATTTGGTTTCAGTTACTAAATACTAACTTATAAAAATTTTCTTGCCAAACAAATTAAAAATAATCATATAATTAAAAAAATTATTTGATTAATTTGGATTATTTGATTATTAATAATTATTTATATATTTTTGATTATTTTTTTAATGGTAATTAATCATAATTATTTTTGATAATTATAATTAATAATTAATTAATAATGGCTAGGCTATGTAAGAAAATTAAAACAATTGTTAAAATTAAACAATGCAAAAAATTAATGATTACAAATCGTAATGGAAATTTAACAGCTCTGGGGTTTTGTTCAAAAATTGCTTGTTTAATTATAAAATAGAAATTCCTAATGAATTTAGTAAACTATTTTGAATTTATTTAAATTAAAAATCATTTAACAGCAAGTGCAAATTTATGCGGTAACATACATAAACAATAATACTTCGACGAATTGATAACCTCCTCCTTTTTCTGAAATCGGCTAAAAATTAATCAAATAGTAGGGTAGGGGTAAAATTTACGAAGCTGCAACGAATAGCCCAACAGAAAATTTCGAAGGTGTTGCAGCAGAAATTATTTTTATTAGAATCACCCTGTGTTCGCTTGCTATTGCAAATGGTTGCATAGATTTAGACATAGTAAAAGGAAATGCCGAACAATTGAATTTGACTTCCCATTTTGCAAACACCGCGCATACAAATGACTATCTACCTATAGCCGTCATCGATTCGCCACACCGCTGCTTACCATGTTTGAGTTCCTTCGAACCACAACTGTGGTGAATAAAAAATTTTCTAAATTCCCCCCGCTGCTTTATGCTACATTACCGTCAACCGCTGTTGTTGCACTCGACAATTGATTAGCAGAAACCTTCAGCAATCATTTGCCATTGCCACTGTTGGGTTTTTACTTTTCACTTTCAATTTCGGGCTGTTAGCTTTTGCTTTTTTTTTTTGTTTTTCTCACCCCACTTGCACGCTTTACCTGCACAATTTCCGTTTGATTTATGCGAGTTGTCATTGTTTTTGTAATAGATATTCAAATCTATTGTAAATTTGTTTACTGGGTCGCTAGGTCTCACTGCGGATGTACCGGATGCACCAATGAGATTTCCATAATTTATTATCGAGTGTGGATTATGCAATGTTTGCTTGGTGTTGGATATTTTACTATCTGAAGAGTGTCTACACCAAGCGGGGTACTAGTATTTATATACATTTGTACGAACGTTTGTGTATACATATACTTATGCAGTAAGTTTAAATATAGTTTCATATAGTCAAATTTCACATTTGTTCGTTGAATTCTAAACATTTATTGTTCACAATTTAACAGTTTACAGATAAATGTATAAAATTTGCCCTAAAAAAAAATTGTTTAAATTTACGCATATTAAGAAAGGTAACCAGTTTCCTCTCCTAATGTGTGCAAATTTACACTCTGTGTAATAAAATTAAACAGTGGCTGTTTACGTTTGCATATCAAATTTGTCGCGTAGAGCAAAATTACACATAAAATGTTTAAAACTTTTTACAGGGTATCATACCTTTGTAAACAATTATTGACGGTAACAGGTTTTTTTTTGCATCTTCAATGATCCCTAGTAAAATTTCTCACTTAACAGTTGTGCAGAACATTTTAACCCTTTAACTGCAATTTTAAGAGAACTTGCATGGAACTTTTATGGGGTGGAACAAAACTTTGAATTTGGCCACCACATATGGATGCTGCCGAAACAAAGTTTTCGACTTTGCTTATGCAGGTTTTCGTTGCGCGTTCTATTCAATAATAGCCCGTACAAAACTCTACTCCACTCTCTACCAAGAGAAATTATATCTAAGGCACCGTTTCTTGTCAACTCTGCAGGTATGCAGTGCCCCAGAGTAACCTGATCCGAACGGTTGCCCTTTTGTTTAAACAAAAATGTCTTCCACGGTTGCTGCAGGCAAAGTCGGGAGATAAGTAGTTAGAAAAAGAAGTAAAGGCCGCATAAAAACCTAACTGTGTAGCATAATTTCTTCGTTTGGCCATATACCTTTAGAATTAATTGTTCCTGATATGTAAACTATAACAAATCTTCATTTTACATCCGCAAGTTTATATATGCGTTTCTTTTTGGCTGTTGATGCTTTCGACAAGGTACGTGTATTTTGCATTGAATTTCTGGTCAGATCTAGCTTGGAGGTAAATCAGGTTCGACACATAGTGTACTGTTTGAACGCCCTTAGCGAATTAATCAGTTTTAGTGCTTTCGATATAAGCAATATTTTGAAATGAATGGGTTGGAAAGCTTATGAAATTCTTTTTCAAGGAAGAATATTGCTATTGAGCCACAGTAATTTTTTTGACTTTGCAAAATAGGTCCAAAATAATGTTCTTCGCAGGAAACGTGGATAAACTATCGGTATTCTTAAAACAAATTGTATGTCCTATTATTGATACTAATCTTATAGATTATGATAAGAAGAACACGATCCCAATGTTTCACAATCCAAAAACAAAATTTAACTATCAATTTGATAAAAGGATGGTGTCCTGTTATGTTTTTTCACACTTTTTTATGATTGTCTTGCATTTGTGCACCCTTGCCACGATTTTATATACCTTAAGGAGCAAACACATGCTAGCGCTATTCAAGATCTTTAATTTCAGCTACATTAGGCTCTCTGAGAGCCAAGTTTAACTGTTTTAAAGTTAAACCTTGAAATTGCGTTCACAAGATGTTTCCTTTGAGATGATTATTTTGAAAGTGGCATAAGTCACTTTATACCGCTTGTGCTTGTATGACTGGTTACATGTAACCGAATTTATCTGTAAATGGTTCCATCGTCACAAACTAATAACAAAACCGTTTACCTTTCGTTGATGAAGATGAACGAATAGCCGCCGTGTTGAGATACATATAACGGGTAATTTAAGCACAAGAGGTGTGAAATGACTTATGCGACTTTCAAAATAAACGGCATATGAATGTGCAATATATACGTACTAGGGTGTCCGATTATTCACCTTTTTTCCAAAACCAGTTTTCGACAACAGCAAACCTTCGAGTGTACATCTGCCATAAAAAAGGAGTAAAAGTGTAGATATCTCAATTTGTGTCACAATACCAAGAAGCGGAGCACGAATTGTGTAAACCAGCTTGGTAAAACTGAGTCAATCAATATCTGAAAAAACTCCGAATATACGAATAGTGTATAGATATGCGAATAGTATGCGGTTGTTCGAGTATCCCAATGGTGTTCGAGTATCCCAATGGTGTATAGACATCCTTATATTTATAGTATCCATATATCCCGATAACAAAATGAACGAATATTAATCGGTTAACCGGATATCCGAATAGTGTGTTTAAATTAGAAAATTACAATAGAGTATAAGAATAGTTTAACGGATATTAACCGGATATTCGGAAAACAAAATAAACGAATATTGATTGGATATCCGGAATACATAATTACGAATATTAACCAGAAATTCGTACTATTCGGATTTTATCCGTAGACACAAATACTCGAACCTGTATCCGGATATCCGAATATATAGATAATTTCAGCAATTAATGAGTGGCTACAATCTGAACGCAGTAAGTACTAAGTACCTGTCGCGCCACATACAGGGCAGGTTCTTCGGCTACCCTTTCAACTTTCACGACCAACTGCGATTTCACCTGCACAAAGTGGGTGTGATCACAGAATCTTATTGTTTTCCAGTGTTTTTATATATTGTTCTGTATATATCTTTGGGAAATGCAATTAAAGGTAAATCACTTAGATTTATTTTTTGCATAAATAACGTGTTTTTCCCAAGTTAAATTTTTTTTATCAATTTCTTTCATAATGCATGCAGTATAGGGTTAAGCAAATTTTATAGCAATTACGTTGAACCCAACTTAAATCAATTCAGCTATAATTCCTTTCATAGAAAATTTTTGTTAATAGATAAACATAAATTCGAAAATTTAAAATCTTATAAATATTGCTATTATAATTACTTTCTTATAAAAATTGCCAAAAATCAACCGAAGCTGCTGAAACGCTTTACTGGCAAATAACAACAAATTTATGACACAAGAAGCATTTTTATAAAATTTATTTACATATGCATACATACAACTCAAACTCGCAGTGTGTTCATTGCTTTGAAGCCAAATTAACATAAGGTGAAAGCAGCAAAATTTTAGCAAAGGTGTGTGTACGCGCAACGCAATTATTAACGTAAGCACTACGTGGGAAGGAAGCGAACTGCATTTGGCGTTGCACTGAAACAAAGTTTGAACCGAAATAATAAAATCCAAAAAAGCTTGCGTAAAAGGTATTTTGCATTTATTGCTGATATTTTATTTTGTTGTTTTTTTTTTCAAATGAGTAAATAATTGCTTTCATAGAGTGTAAAGTGCTTTGAAAAAATTAACGCTAAATCATTTTTGGTTTTTTTTTGTTTAATTCTGAGTGGGTACTTCTCATAGTATGTATAATCCAATTCCGCCTCCACATCTTGTTGCTGTTGTTTCTGCATTTGTTGTTGTTGCAGTTGTTGTAAGATCTTCAATTGAAATTCCAATTGCTCCTTCTCCTTATCTTTCTTACCGCTCGTATTTTTGCTCCGTGGCCGATTCATCATCGGATCTTCCATTTGGCGCGATGCCTGCGCGCGTACCTGTGGCGGCGGCCCAGGCGTCTTCTTCTTCTCTTTCTTTTTCTTCTTCTGCTCAAAGAGTGCCGCATTCGCTGAAGCAACAGTCGCTTCACGCTCCATCTGTTGCTGCTTCTTCTTCGCCAAGGCAGCGGTTTGAAAATGCACCAACGGTGAGCTCCGTCGGCGTACAGCGGCAGCATGTGGCCCCAAGCAGCGATGATCGGGTGTGCTAACGCCAAAAAGGCGGCGTATGCGACGCTTATTGATGAAACCCAGACCCGAGCTGAAGGTGGAGCTAGCGCCGCCTTCGCTGCCGGCGACCATTTGACTAAAATTGCTGTCCAAGTCGCAGGAGCCGCTGCCGCTGTTCAGCGTGGCGCCACCAATGGTGCCAGCCGAATCAGCGCCGCAGGGAAATAGATATGTATTAAGTGTGCTCAAGGTGGAGGAGGTGAACTGGCGCGTTAGTTCAAAGCCACCAAATGTGCCGGCAGCGGTGCTGCTGCCGTTTGTGAAATGCCAATCGAAGCCGGGCGGTCCGACGCCGGTGGTGGTGATTTGTGGCGGTAGCTGCGTCTGTGACGCTGAGTGCGCGTGCGAGTGGGAGGATGTCGGTGGCAGAGCGACCGCTGTCGAACCGGTGGCGGTGGTGCGTTGCGAGGTACTCGTGTTGCTGTTATTCGTGTTTGAGTGTGTGTTGCTGCTGCTGCTGTTGACATTGTTGTTATTCATGGTGGTGGTAGCTTTGTTGTTGTTGGCTTGTTGTACGCGCCCTGTAGCGCCGCCTGTCGTTTGCATATCGTACGAGTGCGGATTTACATAAATGTGATTGTTGTTGTTGTTGTACATGTGCTGGCCACTGCTGGTGGTTGCGCTTACGCTGAGCCTATTATTCTTGTTGTTGCCCGCGCCGCCGGTGCTGCTGGTGTTGTTGTTGTTGGTGAGATTCATATGCAAATTCACCTGATTGATATAGTGCGCGATGCTGGCGTGTTGAGTTCGGGCGGCATCGCTTCCGCCGCCACCAACCAAGTTGTTGTTATTATTGTTGTTCTGCAAATCCTGCGATTGCAAATGGCGACTGCCGCGCGGTGCAATTATGGCCACGGCAGGCACGCCCAAACGGTGTAGCGGTTGCTGCTGCTGCTGTTGTTGTGCAGGCGGTGGGCGCGGCGGCATAATTGGCGCAATTGGCAGTGGGGGCAGCTGTGGTGGATCGCGTTCGCGCCGCAAATGCAAGGCAGCAGCAGCACCAAGTACATGCGGCGGTGGCTCTGACTGTTGCTGTTCCTGCTGCTGTGCTTGTTGACCCCGGCGCTGCGGACTGTTGTTAGCGCTATCGGTTTGCTGTTGGTGTTGCGGTGGTGGTCGTTGTGGCGCGTCGTTGTTGCCATTGTTGCTTGCCGTCGACGAGCCTCCGCCGCCACAGCAATCGCACGCGCCAGTCCCGTGGCAGCCCATGGCGATTGAGTTGCTGCCGACTTCTGTGAGTGTGTGAAATTATTTAAGAGCGAGAGTGTGGTGAAGTTTTGCAATTCTGTGCGTTAAAATTTCAGTTTTGATATTTTTAAATTGATATTGCTTATTGGATTGCGAGCACTTAAACGAATAACTTATTTGTTCTTATTGAAAGATTGCGTTTTGAGAATTCGTAAAGGATTTTTTGTTGCTGATTGTTTTACAGTGCAGTTAGCTTTGAAACCGTTTTGTAAAATATTATTTTTAAGCTTTAAGTTGATTATTTGCGTTGTTTTACTTATTTGACTTTCCTTTCTGAAGCATAAATTTTTATGTTTTGTGCATTTCAAGAACTCACCACTGTGGTAAGTATGTTTGTGAGCATCGCTAGTTTATGCAGAAGTTAATTTATAACCAGTTGAGTGCGTTTTGTATTTTATAAATTGCGTAGGCATTATTAGTATACACTTTTCATATTGTAGTGTGGTGAGTTTCTACTTTTATTTTAAAACAGTGGTATTTAAATGAAGGTACAACTGAATATTGCTTTTGTACCAAACTGTTTGCTGATACGTATTAACTATTACTTGGTCATGAATTTTTCAATAATTTTCATATTAACACCAGTGCCACAAAATTATTCGGAAATTTGGTTTACACATTTTTTCTTTTCTGTATCATAAAATAACGTATTTCACCACAGAACTTTTTAAGCTTCATTATTTCTACAACGGTTGTTTCTCACGTTTTAGCACAAGCGCTGAATTTTATTTATTTTTTTGCCTCGAGCTATTGTTGTGTGTACTTATGTATGGTTATCAAGTAGTGCTTTAAGTTCTGTGTAACAATTGGTTTGGCAGATTGCTTTTCTTAGATAATTTATCAGTGCATTTTTCGACGGTTAGTTAAATATCCTAAGATATGAAAATATATATTTCTTAACAGCAAAGCGGTGAGTTATTTCTCCTTTAATGCTGAAGAGTTTTCCTTGCGCGCTTATTTTCAAAAATGTCTTGCTATTGCAGATGCAAGCACAAGATTTGCTTTCCGCTATTTAAGTGTTTGCGTTTTTTTTACAAATTTTTACAATTACTTTTAATTTCGTGAAGTTTTGACGACTTATTAGCTGGTCCTCAAATTTAATAATTGTCTCTTGAGGAGCTTAGTTTACACCATACAAAATTTACAAAAATTTTTGCATGATCTGCAATTTTCCAAGTGTGGTGAATTCCTTCCAATGGTTTAAGTGGCTATGAATGTTTTTTTAAGCACTCAGAATGTAGTACACCATAAGTATGCACAATTTTTTACAAAAAAAGTTTTTCACCACGGTGTGGTGAGTTTCCAAAAATCTCGTTTTTAGTCGTTTTGAAACAACTGCAAAAACTTATCGTTTACTTTGTAGAGTTTTATAGTGATCTTACAATAAATGTGCTCCTAAAGTTCGTTAATGTATGTATGTGCACTAAAAATTTAAGCCTTTTATCCGAAATATCGTTGGCAGTTTACTTGTGATATATTGCTTAATTATTGCTAAGAGCTTTTATTAAAGCAATTCGAATTTTTGGCATTGCTTATGCTCTAATTCTTATTGGATTAGATGTAAATAAGCTGCGTGTTTATTTTGCCTTTTTTGCACTAACTTCTCTGTTTGATGTTTCTTTAAAAACTTGCTTTGCTTAAATTTTAGTAAAAGCTTATTTCATTAAGCATAAACTCTTCGAGGGTTATAAATTTGGTGTATTACTTTTATTTTTTACAAATACTTGTATTCATATAAGCCACTTAATATCACAGCGATTGCTCAATTTCCTAAAACGGCTAAGTGCGCACTACTAATTTATTTATTTTGTTTTGTTTTTTGTTTTTACACTTTCTTTCTACTTGCACTTCTTTTACGCCTCTTTAGTTTGAATAATATTTGCTTGAATTCTGCAGCAGTTGTAAGCATGTCATAGAAATGTCAAAATGTTCCCGATGCCGCGCCAGCATCCGTCTAACTAAGCTATTACTAAGCACTAAGCATTTTTTAGAGAGTTCAAAGTTAAGCATTGCGATTAGTAGAGATGATATTTTTTAAATAGTTTTTTCTTTTTTGCAATTAGATGCATTGATTTTGTTTTAACTTTAGCGTGACGGAGATCAGCACTCACACACTCACAGACGCGTATATATTTTTTCTCACTTGCATGGCAACTGACACAAGGTCAGAGTTTTTTAAATTCCGTTTTACAATGCATACTTTTAGGCGTTGTCACATGTTCTTGCAGTGGAGCTATTCGATTGCGAGCGTTTGCATTTTTGGAGCTGCTGCATTTTGTTTTTTATTTTCTTGCATGCACACAATGGCTGAGCGATTCGCACTATATACGTTGCATCACTGCAATTACTTTTTGTTGCTTACTTTTAGGTGCATAAGCAATGATATTTGCAGGTGAACTGGACACTATAGCTATCAAATTGCACATTAAGTGAAGTGATTTGAATTTTTTTTCTATATTTTGTATGACAATTTTTACACTGAGTTATGTACTTATTTGCTTATTTTTGTTATTTCTTCTTACTTAAACTTGCCATTCACCACCTCCAAATCACTTTTAGTTACTGTTACGCAGCTCGATACATTTGACTTCACTACAATTCACTTTGATTCTTTAAAATTCTCATTATTGCTTTCGGAATTTCGAATCCTTACGGCGCCAGCAATAGCTCACACACGCACACACACTCGCTCAAACGGTGAAAATTTAAATCGACTAGCTGTGCTAGTGACTGCTGTTGTTGAAGACATGCCAATAGCATGGTTTCACGGCTACGGTGACGGCTCACACATTTTCGCTTGGCACATCTCAGTTCAGCACAAATTTGGCCCAGCACAGCGCTCAGCGTAAGTTCACTTCATTCGTTTGGCTACAAACAACAAATAAAAATCACCAACTTCAATTCGCTTCGCGTAACCATTCTGTAAGCCTGCAAGCCAGTCAGCCAGCCACCGAGTCGACAAACCATGCCAACCAACTAGGCAACCAATCGAGCGAACGAGCATACACGGCTAGTTAGGCCGAAAAAAACAACAAAACAAAAACGGCGCCGACGACGACGACGACGACGACGACAATGGCGAGGAAGAGCGCAGCGCTGCTACTCACGTATCCTTTGCCACTTTTCTACTTCCACTTTTCAACAATTCAACTTCTATGTTTTTCCGTACTTTTATCCTTCACTATGCTCTGCGTTAACTTCCGTGGCTGGCGGCGTTGCTGCTACCGCCATCGGCAGATTGTACATACAAGTTGTGTTGCCATTTCCTGCCGCAGCGACGCTGACATTGTTCGTGAAAGTTGTTTTGTTGCACACAGCCGTTCGTGTCGCGTGTTTGAGCATTTGTGAGAGTCTGCTTATGCGTGCAGCTTGCCTGTTAGTGGGTTTTATTGGAGCGCCAAGTAATTCTGCTCAATTTTTTTTTTGCTCCCGCTCTCTTTCTGTTTCCCTCATATGTCACTTTGACAGTTGTCAAATTTGACGTTTCATACTACGCGCCAGAAATTCTAGCTTCCTTTTAAGTTGTCTTCACTTCCTTCATTTCGCTTCTTCTTTTCGATACGCATTCGTTATTTACTCGTATTACCACTCGACATTTTCGGTTTTGTATTTTATCGAGCGCTCTTTCACTCGACTCCCAACTTTTAAATGCTCTCACGTAATTTCTCTGCCTTTTTTATTTCTTCCAACTTCCGTACTTTAAAGGGCTAACTAACACAGGCAATTCCACATAAAAGAAGAAACCATGTAGGAGCGCAGGCGTTAAGGAGTACAGCTACTTTATGTAAGTCACCATCAAAGCGTGTTTACGGAAGTTGTGCCGCCGAGCATGTTAAAAGCAGAAATACGTAATATGTAACACATACAAGCACATACAACACTACTACAACACACAACAGTAGAATTAACTGTGGCAAAGGCAAACTAGGAGCAAACGAAAATTTATTCTCCAAAAAAAAAATATATACTTTTTAGATAAGGATTAGAAATGGAATTAGCTTCAAAAATTGGCAACGACCGCAATATGCATAATGCATGCCCTTCATATATTATACCTACGGTGACCACCCGTTCTGTTTTTTGCAGGACCGTACTGTTTTTCAAAGGTCGGTCCTGCGTAGTTTTTCAAACCTAAAAAACCTGAAAATGTACTGATTTTTTCCAAGTGTCCTGCATTTGTCCCGCATTTTATTCGTTATTTTAAAATTATCGGACAATGGATGGATTTTTTCAAAAATGTGTTTTTTTTGGTACTTTTCGTAGCTTTTCTTCAATATCTCATGAAAAAGTCTCCGAATCAACGTAAGCGACTTACAGCTCGAAGGGTATTGATGTGCCTCTTACCAAAATATATAACTTGTGGCGACTTCAATGAAAATTATTAGTGCTACAGGCGACCATTTGCATTTTGTCGTCAAAGTCGAAAAAAGTGAGAGTTTCAATCAAATACGCAGCTTTATTTGATATTTTTTTTTCATTAGTTTAAAAATTCGATAAATAAGATATATCATTACAGTAAATTTTGATCCAAAGATAACGAAAATCGGATTAGAAATGTAGATGCTATGAAGAGCAATCTGCACAAATTATATATTTTTGAAAAGGGCACATAAATACCTTTGTAACTCGTCATTTACGTCGATTCATGACGTCGATTTTTGACAAATTACTGCGAAAAGTACCAAAAAACAAAAAAAGTTATTGTTTTCGTTTTGAACGACTCAAAATTTGCCTATAAAATAATCTTTTAAAGATTTTCACTTTTCGTATAAGCTATTGTAATTATAATATGTTTTACTATACTTTTATAAATATTCATGTAAAAAGATTAATATCGATGAAGAAAACGTGATTCGTTTTTTTAAGTTTAAAATGTATTAAGAATTTAGAATCATAAATACTCTTTTGATATTTTTATACTAAGTATGTGTAGGCATATTTTTGAAAAATTGTCCTTCATT